CTAGGATGGGGTCTCATCACATCATTACAGTCCCTGTCGCCACGTCCGGCCATGCTCTATCTGACGACTGTGTATCTTCACAACAAGTAGTGCGAATTCCATTGCAAAATGCTCAGTCGTAAGGCTGTCATGTTCAAAGCACATTATTACTTTCCGCAGGCTTTCCACAATGCATCTAATGTACGAGGACGACAGTTTCTCATCGCTCGTTTCAACAATAATAGCCGTACAGAAATCCATAGACAACTTGACTCGTTTCATTATCCAGCTGTTCGAAGTATGCGACAGTTGAGTAGATGTGTTATAGAAGCAGTCTGAGTGTCGCTTTTCCAGACGGAGCTCCTTCTTGATTATGTTGGGTGCTGTTGCCTGGGGCAGGTGGATAACTCTTTCCATTGACACTATGCTTACCATGGCTGGGGTACGACTTGTTATGGGTTTCTCTCTAATTAGACCCAGTTCCCAAATTTGACCAATATTCATTTTTTTTCCAATGCCATTAAGTACAAGAGATATCCCCGTCTTGGAAATTCTAAATACCCAATTTGAATATAGTTTTATAATCTAAGTGTATGAATATCTTGCGATAGAAAGACCTCTTGCATAATCTTCCTAAAAACGATAAATTTTTGGTGGCACACTACTACCTACGAAAAGCCAAACATATAGTTCTGATACATCCCGTTCCACCGCGACTTGGTATCGGATGTATCTGTCACACTACTTACTGATTTGCATATTCAAAATCGTTGTAATATAACATACTCAACCCTGTGTAGGATGCACATATTAACAAATCTTTCAATGTAGAAATATGTAAATAATTTCGCTGTAAGGTTTTTGAAAGTAATTTGAAATTCCAAAATTTCTGGGCGATTAGAAAATCAAACAACTAGTAGGAATGTATATACTATCAGGGTATTTACATATATATATAGCGTCAGTGCAGGTGCTCTGTAATTCTGAACAACCTCAGTGTATGAAACAATAATGTTTGTTCTGTGGAAAAGACGTTGTTGTCTGTTCACCAGCGCATCAGATTACGAACCGTGCATGAATCTCTTCAATATACAAACAAAACATTCAGCTACCAGCTTTCTTGTTGGTTTGATTTAGAATATGGATGGCGAACTTCGACTAACATATTGGTAAAGAACGTTAACTGCTACAAACGGGAAAAAAAACGAAAAATACATTTACTTACTTTCAAGTGTACTCAAAACCAGATATAATGGTAAAAGAACCGCTCTTTAAATTAAAACTGATATTTTAAATCAAAGTAACGTGTTTTTTTTGTTTTTGTGTGTAAAACAAACCAAGACGCTCAGGGTGTTAGTATTTATGGTAAACCTATCTGCCGCTGTCCCTAATATTGCAGCACCCACCACCCACTCTAAGGGATTGACTATCTCTCTTATAACGCACCCACAGCTTAAGGTGTGAAGAATATTTTGTGGTACCTCAAGGTTCAAACCAGGCTCGTCAGCTTTGAAATCTAGAGCCCTACCATAGGGGCAACAAGCGCCCTAACCTTCTAGGAGTTTTCTATATCGAAAATTTAATTTCTTCTTGAAGTTTGCAAAACTTGCAAATTTCACCAATTTCGTTATCTTTCTTAAACTCTGCACTTCAAAATATATTTTTCGTGATCTAAGATTCTATGGTTTTTTTGTTTTTTTTTTATTTCGCGCAAAGCTAGTCGAGGGCAACCTGTGCTAGCTATCCCTAATTTAGAAGTGATAAACTAGAGGGCAGGTAGCTAGCCAGCACCACCAACCGCTAATCGAATGGTGGTGTTTTACCATCAGTCTTATAATGTACCCACAGTCCTAAATAGTGGAGAGCGATTTTTTTTTTTGGAGAGAACGAACCATGGATTTTAGAGATATCCACGACTTTTGGTATTTACTTAGCCAAACAAAAAAGTGATCTTTATATCATTTGAGTTTGAAAAAATTATTATCGAAACGATAATATGTTAATTAAGCAACATTTTATTTTAGCGTCTAACTTACATAAGGTTGGTCCAAAATATAGAATCAATCCATGTCAATATAACACAATAGTTCGCTATTTCTACGTAAGATGTATTTCGTTTCTTGGAATGTATTTGAGGAATAGAAAAAAAATCTCAAGGACATCCACAAACAGTGCAATAAAACAACTATGTTTCTTTATTGTTTACGACCCTACTTCCCGTCTTCATGAAGGGCCGGGGGTGACCTAGCGTTCACGTTATCAGAATATTCGCATCCCGTTGTGGCAAAAACGGGTACTGCATTTTCTGACCATAGGTATGCTCTAAAGGTAACGGTCAACTCTAACCATTCGGCCATAAAAAGAATAGTGCAAGAGTTGGTGGTGGGTATTTCGAAAATTTGTCGCCTTGCATCTTCTCATCATCGTCATCGAAGTCATCAGCCTTGCTCTTCTCTCTGCCACGGAGCCCTCCGGATAATTCTTTTCCATCTCATGACGTCAAAATCGCCTTAAGATAGGAATGGGCGGAACGATGACCACGCTCACTTTGAGGTTGTAACGTGCCAAAAACCATCATCTGTTGTAATGTTACCCGCCCATTCCTACCTTGTTTCCTTACTTTTTGGATTGCAATTTTAACTAATCAATTACCACAAGCGAGGCGAAAGGAGATGATAATATCCCTGAACACCGCAGTTTAGGAAAGTTTCTTTCCTTTAAAAACTAAATCCCTGTCAAGTGTTTTTTTGTTGTTGTTGTTGTTGTTTTTCTATAGATGGTGGGTGTTGTTGACAAGCTGTTGCCCTCTAGTCTGATTTGTCAAGTCAGAGCAACGGACGACTATGCTCAAATAGCATTTATGTTGCTATGTGCTCGAGTCACCCCCCCCCGCCCGTGGGACAGCAGTAACTTTACGGACTTAAAACACCAAAATCAGGGGTTCGATTCCACGCGGTGGATACAATGTAGATTTGTTTTAAAACAAGCAAACATACAAAGCAAAGTTTGCGCTAAAGTGCTAAACAACAACGACAGTTTTTGTCAGTTTGAATGTTGTTGTTTCTATTTGTTTTTATTTATTTGTATACCTCGAAAATACCAAAATATGGATTTGTTTACAAACGCGTTTATTTCTTTCAAGATTTACAAATACGTCAAAATCGTAAATAAACCATAATTTTAAAATGAATGTTATGGACGTATGAAATTTTAAAACACTTCTCATAAACTGGACCAATGAACTCAGATTAACATCAATAATTAGTTTGCTAGTGTTCATTGCTATACAATTCAGTTTTAGAAGTGTCACAGAAATATTGCATAAACGTATAAAGAAATATTCAGAAAAAAAAATTAAGATACCAGTAACTTACGTCTAACTAAAGCATGATTTTTGTATTCCCAACTGCACTTAAGAGCGTTTTAATATCTTGATCCATGAAAAGTGAAGCTTACAAAGTAATAAGTTTTGAAAGTATTAGCTCTTCATTCCTTATGTCGTCTGAGTAAAGTCATCCGACATGTTTATGTAATTTGAAACCAACCATATACATACATGTTATAACCGAGAAGTTTTTGTTGAAATTTTGAGCATTCTTAAGATCTCATCGCATCCCGATCCCCTTATCATATTCAATTTCATAAGATTTTTAAAATATTAAAACTCTTCCAGCAACAATATTTTTTTATTTTACACGTGCAAGATCTTTTTCAAGGAATAATGATACAGAACCTTCAATATTTATATTTTCGGCCCAATAATTTAAAATGCGTATTATCTAAGTAATATTCGAATACATAAAATATTATTAATGAAATAACTTCATTCCAGCTTTGAACAAAATAAATCGTTGAATGATTAAATTTATGTAAATACACTACACGTTAGCTTAATCAGTAGTGTACTTACATTAACTCAAACATAATACACTAATGTTTGAGTTAATGTAAGTACACTACTGATTAAGCTAACGTGAATACACTACTGATTAAGCTAATGTGAATACACTACTGATTAAGTTAATGTGAATACACTACTGATTAAGTTAATGTGAATACACTACTGATTAAGCTAATGTGAATACACTACTGATTAAGTTAATGTGAATACACTACTGATTAAGTTAATGTGAATACACTACTTATGTAAATACACCACTGATTAAGTTAACGTGAATACACTACTGATTAAGTTAACGTGAATACACTACTGATTAAGTTAATGTGAATACACTATCGATTAAGCTAATGTGAATACACTACTGATTAAGCTAACGTGAATACACTATTGATTAAGCTAACGTGAATACACTACTGATTAAGTTAATGTGAATACACTACTGATTAAGCTAACGTGAATACACTACTGATTAAGTTAATGTGAATACACTACTGATTAAGCTAATGTGAATACACTATTGATTAAGCTAATGTAAATACACTACTGATATAAATTAATGTAAATATACTGTTAATTAAGCGCTTTTAGGTACGGTTAAGTTTTCCCTTCCTACATGATTTTCTTAATCGATGATGAAATCAATGAACAAAAAGAAAAGCCTTGAGAGGATGTTTTTTGACAGGAGTATCCGGTGTTCAAGTATTCCTAATGCCACGTTTATCACGTGCTTTTAACTAACATATTATCGTTGTAATTACAAATTCAACTAGCTTATAATACCTGTGAATATGATGGTGTTTTCTGCTTATTAGAAGTATTTTTCTTTATAAGTGTAATTGTATATGTCAATCTTTGTTGCTTGCTATTATGTGAACTATTTTCCTGTTTAACTAAGCATAATAATTAGTACCAACTAAGCCTTGGAGTTCAAGCTCACTCCGAGACAAGCATGCAGGAAAGTACTGGCCAATGGCAACGGAGGAGAACCTACGTGTTTGTAAAGAAGGATGACGTCATTATTTTACTATCTCCTGGTTGGCCAACGTAAACTTTCCAACGTTGGCGTTAAAATGTTGTATGCTTAGTCCACTTAATATAAGTGAGGCGTAACGGTAATAAAATTTGTATTTTTGACATACAAAAAGCAACTATCATCATCCGGGCAACAGAGGCGAGAAAGAGACTAAAACTGTGAGGAAAAGCACCCCAAGATTACTGATATTTTCCCTACACTCAGAACGAAAAACATAAAGTACTACATCCATCAAGATCTAGAACAACAACAATGAGCACTGAGTCTAGGAAACACACAAAAGTCATGATTACTCTAATCGTGCTCCTGTACTTCTCTGAGGCACTTCCGGCAGCAAGGTGAGGACCGCTTATTTAAATTTTACATATTAAGTCATTCTAAAACAGTTAAAAATTGTCCCAGAAAATATTAGTTTAAATATGATGTTTGTAACTTATGATAATTGTATGCCTGATATATATGTAGCCCTACACCTGTTATGACCTTTTTTTTATTAGTGAATAGCACCTATTTACAAAGCATGTATTAAAGCCCAATCTATCACGTGTACATATATACACTATTCTCATCACTTCGTGAACTCACCAGTGTTTCCTTCCCTTCACACTGATAAAAAACGTATCATATAATCTTCAACTGTGCCAGAAAAGAACTCACATCCTTCCCCTAAGGGAAAAGAATGTTAATAACATTAGGTTTTGCTACTAGGTTTCACTCTTTCTTTTTTTAAAGAAGAATTAAGCTCGGGTTTGTACTTCAAATTTCAAGAACAAAGTTTAGACAAAAAAAAATGGTACGCAAACCTGAAACGTTTAACACGTTCGCTGCCATGTGCCCCACAGGTGGGTCACAGCCGACTTTTAGTTATGGACTGCGTGACATACCGGTGCGTCACAGACAATTAAGTTTGAAAGCCAAATTTATCTTGTGTCATATGAGTTTGGGACACCGTGACTGCTTCTTGGCAGTCTCTCGGATGTTTATTTTTGTTTAATACTTAATTTGTTATGCGGCAGAGAACGTGTTAAGAGCCACTATAGTAAATCACTAAAATAGTGTTATGACTAAACGGGTCACTTGTGTGAAAGATCTTTAAAAAACGTATCTACATGGAGCTGGAGCGCTTAGTGAGGTACATAATGAGAACTTGTTTTAAGAGGTTAAAACAGATATAGAAGGTTAAGTGCAATTAATTTTTAACGTTAAAAAATAATATATAAAAGAAGAAAATTTCAATTGTTAATACAGTTAGAATTGCTAGATATGTTATTTTCATTGACAGTAACGTTAGCTTAAGATAAAATACACGTATTAGGTCTTCCGGTGAGTAAGCGGTAAGTTTAGGGAATTGCAATGCTAAAATCCGGGGCTCGATTCTCCACCGTGGACAGAATGTAGATTGCCCATTGTGTGGCTTTGCACTAAGAAGAAACAACAACAAAAATACGCATATTAACTGTATGTAACTGCAGAAATAAAGTAGGTATTAAAATGGTTCTTATTAATCTTTTTTTTGTTCGCGGACCACTTCGTGGTGTAACTTGCTTTTTTGGACCAGCCCGCGGACCACATATTGACAACCATTAAGCTGAATTACACTTTTAGCTCATAAGTAGAGTGTCCTGGCATGGCCAGGTGGTTAGTACGCTTGACTCGCAAATCTGAGGGTCGCGGGTTCAAATCTCTCGCATCCCACCAAACATGCTCGCCCTTTCAGCCGTGGGGGCATTATAATGTAATGGTCAATCCCACTATTCGTTGGTAAAAGAGTAGCCCGAGAGTTGGCGGTGGATGGAGATGACTAGTTTCCTTCCCTCTAGTTTACACTGCTAAATTGGGGAAGACTAGCGCAGATATCCCGCGTGTAGCTTTGCGCGAAATTCGAAATAAGCCATATGTAGAAAATGTGGGCCATTGTACAACTTATGTTATGAAATAGTTTATCAGGTTCTCCGACAACGGGAAACATTAAAAATATTCTACCCAAGAATAAACTTCACACTACAAGTTTTTCTCTGTATTAATATTGATTTCTTGAATGCCTGCTTTTCCTAATTCACCAAAATATTTAGACTTGCGTTGAGTTATA